TGAAATAATTAATGAGAGTCTTTATTCATATTAAATTTTTTCAAGATTTTATTTATTTTGCTAATTATTAAAGTTATTAGGAATTGGTTTAGCACTTAGGCTATCTTAGCACTTAAAAAATATCTTTCCTTAAAGTAGTTAAAAGACTAAAAAAATTTAATTTTTATTTTTCTATAATTTTAGCAGAATCAAATGATGTATCGACATTAGGATCTCCATCTTTGTCAGCAACATATCGTTCAACAACTGCGCCAAGTTACGCGATTGATGGAAATCTAACTACAGCTGCAATGACTCCTCCTGCTGGTAACAATAAATGGTTTAAACTAGACCTTATTTTCATTTTTCGAGTTTATCAAATAATTGTTTGGAATCATTTTGCAAACACATTTAGAATGAATGGTAACAATCTGACAGCCAGTATAAACGACAAACCATCAGAATATTTTCTGATTGGTAGATTAAACTCTAACGCAAAACAAGTTTTTACAGGATCATATATTGTTAGGTATATTCTAATCACGAAGACTGATTCTGACGCGCTTCAGGTGGCAGAAATAAATGTTTTTGTGTGACGTTTCATAAATAACGTATTTTAAAAGTCATGGATTTTACCATAAATACTTATACTTATAAAAAAATCAGTTATACTTATAAAAAAGTCTCTATGTAAGCAAAGTAATTAAGTAAAGTCCCATTTTTAAGTCTACTTTTACGTTAGAATACCAACCGACCCCTTCACTAATTTATTTTTGCATTATATATTAATGTAGCTACTATTTTCTTTTTATTGTTTTATGCATTTGTTAAACATGACAAGGTGTAAAAAATGCCATAAAGTAGTTTTTGAAAATGGCTTTCTTTTTATTTATTTTCGAAATATATATCTATATTATAAAGGTCAAAATAGACCCAAACATAACTTTCCTTTTTACCTTATGCTTTTGATAATAGTTTTTTTTTCTCTTCGTAGCCTTTTTTATGACAAATATATATTTCATTACATTTATTAGAACTTTAGGAAGAAACTATAAAAAGATTTGTATACGATACACTGCTGAACAGGCTCAGAAACTATTGCTTGCATCACTTGATTGAGATCTATCAGGTGAAGACTACAATATCAAGGTAAAAAAATAAAAGATTTAAAAGTTTTTTTTTTACATTATTTCAGAGTTGAAAATGCCGCATGGCGGCAAAGTAATATTTCTGCAAAAAAGTGAATTTTTTAATGAGGCGGAAACTGTTGTCGGAGACCTCCCGATCAATTTTTAGCGGCAAAATATTTTTTCTGCCATTTCCAGTGGCTTGCGCCTTTCTTTAACGGCCACAAGCAGAGTTCTTTTTTGGAAGAAAAATGTTTCGGAGAGCAACGCCGATAGAGAGCCGAAAGCCAATTGTGGCCATCTCCATAAAATAATTTGTAGGCAAAGCCATTTGGTTGCTGCTTCAAATGGCATTTGCCTCCTAACTGGCTGCCGCCATCAAATTAGAGGCGGAATTATTTGTCTTCCGCCGGCGGATGTATTGAAAAATTATTGTTTAACTGCTTTAAAGCAATTAACTATTAAATAAAAACAAATTTTAAATACTTGACATCAATGTTTTATTTTATATGATTTATTGACTATTTTTTATACTTTTTGAAAAAAATTTTTCTCAGACTGTAAAACAATAATTACAAATAAATCAGTAATTTTTATTTTAAACCAAATGCTAAAAATTTAAAACTTTGTTTACATGCTTTGAGCAAAAAAAAAAAAAATATATATATATTTTATGACAAATACTAAAATTGTTATTTTTTGATCAACGTTTGATATTTTGTCGCCCTTATGTCACTCTAAAACTTTAATTTTTTGACCATAACATTAATTTAACAATTTTAGTCACTATATTATTAAAATATTTGAAAAGAACAATATCTTTTAGTATTATTAAATATTAATAAAATAGGCAAGGTCTCGTTTATGAATCACCAGGATTCGCTGAGGCGAAGTAAAAACTCTTCATATGAATATTAGCTGAAATTTCGGTTGCAAAAAAAAAATTGATTTTAAATAAGAAATTGAATTTTCGAAAAAGTTATTACCAGAAAAAAATATTGTTCAAACTGACATCAAACTAAATTAAAATTATAAATTTTTTATGAATGTAGTGTTTTTCAATTATTTTTACAATACAAAATGATTAAAATTGAGAATTTATAGAGAATGACCACAAAAAAAAATTAAAAAAAAAATAAAAATTCAGATCTGTGACAAAAACTTGAAAACCACCATTTGATTCAAATTAGTTAATTGGTAGATTGCTATGTAAAAATAGCTTTAAAATTTAGCAATTGTCTACTAAGCATAATAAACATAATATATATTTTTTAATTTTGACATCATCTTTTTCAAGCATAATTTTTGTATTTTTGTAAACGATTTGTATCTTTTTGATGAAACGCTAATAAATTTTTCAAAACAAATTTTACATTAGGAAAATTAAAAACTCTGTAAAGACCGTATTTACTGTGAATGAGGTAAAGAATTGCACACTGTTTTATTCTAATGGTTTTTAACTAAATTTCAAAAGGCATGAGTTTTTTCTTTAGGTTTTATTAATATGTATATGTACGAGCTGAAATATTTTGAAAGTAAAATCCAAAGTGTTTCTTTTTAGTACAAACTTAATATTTTCGAAATCCAGCCAAGCTAGCACAATTAAGTTGGGGCAACTTAAATGTAACAAAATTATCACAAACGTTGGCTGTTTTTTTCAATGCAAAACCAACGTTGAACCAATGTCATTCGTTTAACGATAAGAGTAAAACCAACAGAATTAAAAACAGCGGCACATTTACATTGGTACAATGAATATTAAAACGTCGCAAAAAATTGATTGATTTTACAATGTAAACCCAAGATTATTGTTATTAACCCAATGTTATTAACCCGACGTTGATTTAATGTGTATAAACCAACGCTGAATTAATGCAAAAAAAAAAAAAAATAAAGTAAAAAAGTTGATTGTTTTTGCGATCTAAACTCAACGTTGATCCATTTTATATAAACCAACGTTGATTCATAATATATAAATCAACGTTAATCTAATGTATGTTAAAACATTGCAAAAGTTTAATTTTTTTTTTACGATCGAAACTTAAATTTGATTTAATGTGCATAAACCAATGTTGAAATAATGTATATATATAAATTGAAACAACTTTGGAATTATTAAAGTGGATCAACATTAAGTTTGTATCGAGAAAAACAGATATAAAAATATGCTATTTTTGCACAATTTGTATTTTATAAGAATTTTTTTTTATTTAAATATTTCGGTTTATTATAGAAATATATTTTGCTAATAATTTCTTCCATTTTTTTATGTAATGAAATATCAAGCCACAAGCAAATCAACATGAATAATACCTGACTAATCAAATGCAATATAAAAGTGTAAACATATGTCAATACCAATGTTAATTCATTACCTAAATGGCGTAAATATATTTTAGTTTATAGTATTTCATGATTATATGTATATCTTAACATAAAACGAACTAATTTAATTCCGATAAAAGGTAAATATATAGTTGCACAAACGTAATATATAACGTTGAACCAAGATAAAATAGAACGTTTCGATAGGTAAAACACAACGTTGAATCAATGTAAAATATTACGCAATGCCGACTTTATTTTTTGGTTGTTAGTGAGGTTGCATTTCTAACTAAAATGATATGAAAACAACATTGACGGTCAATATTTGGCCAACGCTACAAAAAACATTGTTCTAAAGTTTTATTAAGGTATGTGTGCTGGCTGAGAGAAGATAATATTTGAAGACAACATCTTTTTTATTATTTTAGCTATCTCTTATTTGAAATATTGAAGAAATCCACATGACCATCGATTGTCTTTGCCTTCCAAATTTGGTTAATACATAAAAATACCTTTAATGGTTTAATAACTTTATAGCTAACGTGCTACTAGAAGAATCCGATGTGTAAACCCCACCTCTGGAAAGGTTTTGCTACATCGGTTAGGAAGGAGGCGAGAACTTCCAACTAAATGCTCATCTGCAATGCTCTGTAATAAGACCATAAGTACTTCTTGGGACATCTAAATAAAAATTTATATAACAAAAAAAAAGCAACATGCCAAAACAACTTTATGCAACTGAAAATTTTTTAGTATATATATACATATATATATATATATATATATATATATATATATATATATATATATATATATATATATATATATATATATATATATATATATATATATATATATATATATATATATATATATATATATATATATATATATATATACATATATATATATATATATATATATATATATATATATATATATATATATATATATATTATATATATATATATATATATGTATATATATATATATATATATATATATATGTATATACATATACATATATATATATATATATTTATATATATATATATATATATATATATATATATATATATATATATATATATATATATATATATATATATATATATAAACTTGAAAATTAGGAAACAGCAGGGCAGTGACAGACAGTGCTCCAGATCCTGCAGTTTTTACAGTCGCAGAAAGAGCAACGCAACATATCGAGCGTATATGGATTTAAGCGTCAATACCGGTAATATCACACAAGAGGTTTGTAGAGAAAATCAGAATGCTACACAGCAATTACAGAAACTTGCTAAAACCATATAAATCCAGACAATGTGATCCAGCATAAATCGAGCGTCTCAAAATTTTTGTTACCGAAACAGACCTGCAACTATTTGATATTGCAATCTGCAAATGTATCGTTTTTCTAAGTTGCAGTCGCAAACTTAAGCATAAGGTGCCGCCTGCGGCAAAAAGCTTTTTGACAGACCAATGAAATTAACGAAAAATGACGGTCGGTGGCGTTGATGTGAGAACTACAAAGAAACTCGTGTTACAACAAAAACACCAAAGACGAGTAGATGATTTTATGGAAAAACATCGCAAATGTATCAAAAGCGATACAAAAGTTAACAATGTAAATGTTTCAGTAATGTCTGATGATGCGACTCAAGAATGGATGCATTGGATTTGGATTTCTGTGTTACCAATGACACGACTGACAGTAAAATATTGGATATTGATAAAAAGCAGCGCAAAAAACAAATGCAACTAGAATTACCAAATGTAGCTAAGATATGCGACATACAAAAAGTTTAAGGTCAGTAGTTATTGCAGCAGTTATTGTCAGTGCAACATTACAAGATGTGGGTCATATACACAAGGGGGACGCATCAATGGTAATAGATAAAAACAAACTTGGAAGAGAACGGTGAAAAGTCAGAAAGCAAATACAAATCCAGGCATTCCAGCAAAAACTGAATGGACTCTTTTTCGATGGCCGCAAAGATAAGACTAGAGTGAAAACTAGAAGAGGTAACAAAAGCCGTGAATCAATTATTGTAGAAAAACATGTGTTTAATCCGCAAGAAACTCAGATTACCTAGGCCACAATAAAACTACAAGTGGAGGAGCCAAGAGCATAACTACCAGTTTTTGGGACTTTCTAAAGAAGAATCAAGTCAAAAAAAAGGATCTAATGGTTATTAGGGGCGATGGAACTAATTTCAATACTGGCACACACCGAGGTTTTATCCGTTTGCTCAAAAAGCGCTTGGAAGCGCAGAAGTAGAGCTACAAGACTGCATTAA